GGAGTCACTGAAAATTAAGCTGTACTTTTGTACAGTCCTGCAAACTGAAGCTAGGCAACCCGAACTTGAGAAGAAAATAACAGCAATCTATTTACATACATAAGCCACTTTTATACCTACCTACTGATGTACGGACTTCAGAGTAATATGGCCTATATCAATTTTCCAAGATTATTGTTTGTTGTTTCTCTCCCTTCCTCCCCCTATTTTCTCTTCATAAAACATAAGACTTCACAACCTGCTAAAAATGAACTTTCCTAACAACTTGGGTCCTACCCATCCTAGGATAGGAATAACTTATCCTAGCCATGAGAGATCAGAAAAACCTGAGACCAGAGATTCATGTTCTTCCAAAATTCTTTCTCCAAAAAAAATTTTTTTTAAAAAGGGGGGAAATATGAAAGGAAAATAAATCCGGGGGCCCCAAAATCACTAAGTTAAGGGGAACAGTTAAGCTGCGAACTGCTTAGGGCAAACCTGCCTCCCATTCTATTCAAAGTCCCCCTCTGCTCACTGAGATGAATAGATACCTGATTGCCTCCTTTGGAGAGAGTAATCAGAAACTCAGAAGAATGCACCCATTTGTCTCTTATCTTCCTATAACCTGGGAGCCCCCACCCTCCGAGTTGTCCTGCCTTTTCCAGACCGAACCAATATTCATCTTATATATGTTGATTGATGTCTCATGTCTCCCTAAAATGTATAAAATGAAACTGTGCTCTGACCACCTTGGGCTCATGTCGTCAGGACCTCCTGAGGCTGTGTCATGGGTGCATGTCCTCAACCTTGGCAAAATAAACTTTCTAAATTAACTGAGACCTGTCTCAGATATTTGTGGTTTGCATATATAAAGTCTAGAGTTAGGCAAGCCAGTTAACTCCCATGATTACTGGGACCCAGTGTCCTTCTCCTTTTTTTTTTTTTGCTTTGCCATGCTCATTCCATGACTGTCATCCTTGAGGGTTCTTTATATTCCAAGATGACTGGAACTTAAGCCCTTCTGCCCTTACACTAAAAAGGCAGCAGAAGAGGGGAAGAGGGCTGAATATCTCCTGGCCTCTTGTCTTTCCGCCTTTCTCTCTCACTGGCTACAGCTCAGTTGCCAGCCACCCCTAGTCAGAATGGAGTCTGGGGAAGGTGGTCCTTTTTATTGGGCACATTGCCATGCTAAGTAAAAGCAGTGGTCTGATACTAACAAGGGGAGGAAGCAGTAAAATGAGATGAATAAAAACAATATAATGAGTTCGTCATGAAATAAAACATTCAATTTACAAGACTGTTCTTTGAGACTTTTTCCCTTCATCTTGTCTTAAATATATATATATATATATATATTTTTTTTTTTCTTTCTTTTTTTTTGAGACAGAGTCTCAGTCTGTTGCCCAAGCTGGAGTGCAATGGCATGATCTCGGCTCACTGCAACCTCTGCCTCCCAGGTTCAAGGGATTCTCTTGCCTCAGCCTCCTGTGTAGCTGGTATTACAGGTGCACACCACGACACCCGGCTAATTTTTGTATTTTTAGTAGACACGGGGTTTCATCATGTTGGTCAGGATGGTCTCAAACTCCTAACCTTGTGATTCGCCTGCCTCAGCCTCTCAAAGTGCTGTGATTACAGGTGTGAGCCACCTCACCTGGCCAAAAATACATTTCTTAAAAAATGAAATTATAATTATGGCAGACTTTTTTCTCCTAAAGTCTTTACTTGACCAAATAAAAATTTGTTGACTCTGTTAATCCTCTAATATTATTGACATTTTACTGGCCCCCAAATCCAAAATCTAGAGAACTCCTGCTTTCTTTAAACTCTAAAATACTTAGATCTGTGTCTTCCACACAGCCTATAGGCTTCATGCTTTATACTTGGCAGTGATCGGGTTCAGAACCTGCTACTCCTAAATATGGCATGGACTTTTGAATAAATGGCAGAAGCTGGAAGTTCACTCTCACCTTCCCTCCTCTCCTTTCTCCTGAAGCAGGTCATAAAACCTTAGAATGATTTTCTGAACTTCCTCTGAAGCAGGTTCTAAGACCTTCATGTAAGAAATGCTGCTCTATATCCACAGGAAAGGTACATTCTTATCTCTGAAGATGGAAGGGTCACAGAGTAGACTCTGAACAAATAAGACTTGCTGAACTCCCCCCAGTTTATTTTCGTATTTGTTCAACTCTATCTCCCTACAGCTGCCCACTCTTCATGAAACCCAGCATAGAAACACCCAAGTTTAATAGCTGCTCTGGATCTTCCTTTCCTTAGGAAGGCTCCCATGGCATGGGATATTTACATATATGTTTTCTCTGGTTAATCTGTCTTTTGTTACGGAGGCCTCAGCTGTGAACCTAGGATGGGTTCGGAAAAGCTATTTTTCCTTCCCTATAGTAATCTCTCATTAGGTATCTATTGATTAATTTATCAAGTAGGCCTAGCCAAAGTGCTAATGCCCAGTGACACAATGAAGAGCTGCCACCTCCAGGTTGTTAGTCAGGGCTTGCTTTGCAGTGAGGGAGAGAAACTCCCTGAAGTCAGCATAGGTAAACGGATGATTGTTGCAAGGATATGGGGGAATCGCATGGAAAACTAAGAACAGAAAAAAAAATACAGTCAGTTTACCTTGAAATTGGGCTTAAAAATAAGGAATGGAAGCTCCCCTCTCTCAAAGAATAAATAATAGACTTTCAACTTCATTTTGCTTTTCTCTGCCAACCAACTTTCTTTGCTACTTATATTTTTTTCTTCCCTCAGTGACTCTGACTGGCATGGGGGCTTTAGCTCCTGTTGTATAGAGGTGTTAGTCTCTCAGTGTTGCAATTCCAAATTCCCCAGCAATAGTTTGATTGTTTCAGCTAGGATCAGGCTACCATCCCTGGTTCAATTAGCTGTGGCAAGTAATGGAGGCTATAGTACAAACATGTCCTCTTGGGTTCATTGTTTCAGCAGAGCCTATGGAGTGAGCATGCGGGGTGGGGGGCGGGGTAGAAGGGGCAGATTCCATGCAGCATTTATAATACATTTCCCTTTTTCCATGAATTTCCATCTCCTGCAGCCATCCTTCCTTGGCTTCAGGTGCTTTTCTTCCTCAAGGTGGCAGATCAAAGAACTTCACTATTATTTGCTCCGTTTCTTGAAGTGTTTGTGGCACAGTTATTTTTATGATTATTCTCTTCTCTAATTCAACTTACATTTCCACGGCTGGGATGTTTTAATGGGAAAGTAATATGGTGATCAGAGTGCAGATGCCTCTGGGATCACTTCATCCTATCCCCTATTTTCACGTCACCAGCCTGAGACAGGAGCAAGAACACTGTAAATAAGAAGCCACTGTAAATGGAGTTGAAGCCAGGTTCCACCCTCCACTAGAAGAGATGGCTCTGTTCATGCGTTTCTGTATTTATGAAAGTGGACTATTACCATGGTGGATTTACATAAGATCACTGTGAGAATCAAAGGAAATAACCCAGGCCAAGGAGTTAGCCAAGTGCCTGGAACTTCAACACACATTATTTACAACTGAGGTACAAGAGGCAAATATCAAAGCCATAGACGAGAGTGTTAAGGGCATGATGGCATGTGCCTGTAATCCCAGCCACTTGGGAGACTGAGGCATGAGACTTGCTTGAATTGGGGAGAAAGGTTGCAGTTAGCTAAGCTGAGATCATGCTACTGTACTCCAGCCTGGGCAACAAAGCAAAAGTCTGTCGCAAAAAAAAAAAAAGAGATACTGGTAAATGTTTGGGTGCCAAATAAGGGCTGGAAACCAGGTGTCTGAACTAATTCTGAAAGTAGGAGTCTTGGTACAATGGTTCCCACAACGTAGATTCTAAGATAGTTGATGCTATTTGTTCATTGAACTTTGAAGGAAGGTTTGATAATGTCAGGAACTTTGCAGCACTCAGCCAATTGTGTTGTTTACCTCTAGAATGTAAAGATTTAATGTAAACAATGTAATAATTTTCACCTAAATATGCCATTTTAAATTTTTGCCACATTATTTAAGTGTGATTGGGTTCTACGCTACAACCAAAACTGTGTTCCTCTAGAGTAACAAACAGCTGGGCCAAGTGGCCCACACCTGCAATTCCAGGTCTTTGGTGCCACTGAAGCGACTGGATTGCTTGAATCCAGAAGGTCAAGGCTGCAGTGAGCTGTGTTTGCACCACTGTACTTCAACCTGGGTGAGAGTGAGACCCAGTCTCAAAACAAACAAACAAATCAAAACTACACACATACAAACAAAAATCAGATCACCCACAATCAATTTTATGATTTAATTAAAAATGGGGTTTGTATTGAAGTATCTGTTTCTCTGGAAACGTTTTTTTTTTCTTCTACATACCCCAGAGAAAACTCTGGAAGCTTTTTTGACATTTTACAAAGTGAACATCTCATTATTGCTTAAAATATTAATAAGAGTTCCATGCATATGAATGCCAGGCAAAATGAATCCTTATAAATTTAAGTTTGTATCTATATGCTATGTATGCTTCCCACCTATGTCTAAATTAGGCCTAAACATGGTGTCATTTCATATACTGCAAAGTTAGATGAGCCTAGCAATTCTTTTTTTTTTTTTTTGAGATGGAGTCTAGCTCTGTCACCAAGGCTGGAGTGCAGTGGCATGATCTTGGCTCACTGCAACCCCCACCTCATGGGTTGAAGCAATTCTCCTGCCTCAGCCTTCTGAGTAGCTGGGTTTACAGGCATGCACCGCCACACCTGGCTAATTTTTGTATTTTTAGTAGAGACGGGGTTTCACTGTGTTGTCCAGGCTGGTCTTGAAATCCTGACCTTGTTATTTGCCTGCCTCAGCCTCCCAGAGTGCTGGGATTACAAGTATGAGCCATCATGCCTGGCCTGAGCCTAGCAATTCTTTATTAACCACTGAACTTTGAAAAAAGACAGAAAACTGGGATATGGCAAGATGTCCATCATTAACAAACACTAAAAATGATTTTTCGGCAAATATGTAATATAATGTACTTTCTTTTTTTAACTTTATTTGCATAATTAAAAAATTGTGCATTCCAATAATTAAAATCATTTGAACAAAAAAAAATGGCACTCTGATTAAACTGCATTACAACCTGCAGGATACCTTGGGCCAGCTTGGTTTTACTCTAGATTTCACATTCGTCCGACCCGACTTCCTCCACCCCACTTCTTCCTTCACCAACATGCAAGTTCTTTCCTTCCCTGCCAGCCAGATAGACAGATGGGAGAGGCAGGCGCGGCCTTCGTTGTCAGTAGTTCTTTGATGTGAAAGGGACAGCATAGTCATTTAAACTTGATCCAACCGCTTTGCATCTTACAAAGTTAAACAGCTAAAAGAAGTAAAATAAGAAGGCAATGCTTGTGCAATGTACAGTGCATATTGGCAGCGCACGACTCATTACGATTCGCCTGCTTGCTTCTCCTGTTTGTTTCTTTGGAAGGCAATGGATTTTTCTCTTGCATTTCTGTCTTCTTCAGTTTCGACTTACCGAATTTCTCGATCTCAGCCATATCCGGTTTGTCAGACATGGTGGCAGAGGAAAAGCGGAGCGAGGCGCACAAACGAGCGAAGTCTGGTCTGCGCAGTGGCCACCACTGAGTTCAATGTAATGTACTTTCTTTGCTGGTAAATGCAGAACTTAAACTCATTCTCGATTTGTTACTACAGAGGTGAGTTTCTCATGGTCATGGTGTCACGATGAGTGCTCCTCAATATCTCCCTACCCAGGACTTGCTTTTGATCCATCCATATCACACTATACACACGTCAAAAATGCATCGACCTCTCTGCTGTAAAAAAGAATGAAATCATGTCCTTTGCAGCAACATGGATGGAGCTGGAGGCCATTATTCTAAGTGTGCAAACTCAGAAACAGAAAATAAAATATTGCATGTTCTCACTTGTAAGTGGGAGCTAAATAATAGATATACGTGCACATAAGAATGGGAAGAACAGGCACTGTGGACTCCAAAAGGGGAGAGGGTGGGAGGGGAGGTGAGGCCTGAAAAATTATCTATTGTGTACAATGTTCAATATTTGGATGATGGATACATTAGAAGCCCAATCCCCACCATCACACAATATACCTATGTAACAAACAAGTACATGCACCCCCTGAATCTAAAATTAAAAAACAATCGAAGAGCATCGACTTCCTTAACTGGCAGGGAATAGTTTCAAGAATGGATTTAAACACTGGATTCCTTAATGTAGTTGCAGATTCTGCCAGTTTTGCCTCAACTCTGGATCAGTTCCTTTTTCAAACTATCATTACCGCTATGCTACCTACTTATTGCATCACTTATAAATGTATAACCTCTGGAAATTAGTCTTTGAATTGAAAGTATTAATTGGTAAAATGGGTATTTCTTCACCATAGGAATAGTTGGAAGTGTTTAAATAATTGAGAGCTATTTTTACTACAAGCACACACAGCTTTGTGGTGTTTTTTGTCTGTTTTTTGAGACAGAGTTATGCTCTGTTGCCCAGGCTGGAGTGCAGTGGAGCTATCTTGGGTCACTGCAATCTCTGCCTCCTGGGTTCAAGCGAGTCTCCTGCCTCAGCCTCCAAAGTAGCTGGGATTACACACAAATTTTTGTATTTTTAGTAGAGACGGGGTTTTGCTATCTTGGCCAGGCTGGTCTCGAACTCCTGACCTCAGCTGATCCACCTCTCTCGGCCTCCAAAGTGCTGGGATTAGAGGTGTGAGCCACTTTGCCAGGCCTGTAGTGTGTTTTTGAATGCATATGTTAAGGTGTGTGTGTGTGTGTGTGTGTGTTCTGAGACAATCTCTTTTTGTTGCATCCCAGCAGACTCAAAAAAAAAAAAAAAAAAAAAATAGAGAGAGTCTCACTGTCTGTGGTCAGGATGGAGTGCAGTGGTGCAATCTCGGCTCACTGCAACCTCCGACTCCCTGGTTCATACGATTCTCCTGCCCCACCTTCTGAGTAGCTGGGATTACAGGACCCGGCCACCACACTCAACTAATTTTTTGTATTTTTAGTAGAAACGGGGTTTCACCATGTTGACCAGGATGGTCTTGATCTCCTGACTTCGTGATCTGCCCGCCTCGGCCTCCCAGTGCTGTGATCACAGGCGTCAGCCAACGCGCCCAAAGTTGTGGTTTTATGATTATGAAAGTTGTGGATTTATGGTTATGAGGCATTGATTTAAGATATTTTCAAGTTTAATTCGTCAGATTCTAGAAGAAAAAAATTCACAAAGACAAGCTAATACCATCGTCATGAATGGGAGTTTGGAGGAAATTCTATTAATATTTGGGTGGTTTAAGTACAGGGTTGAACTGATTTGAACCCTGACCAAACACTATATGGAACTGAGTTGCGGCCGGGAGAATCATTAACCAAGATGCTTTTTTTGCTGTTATTGTTGACAACGCAGCTAGAAAATCTTTTTTTTTTTAATCTTATTTTGCTTTGTTTATTAAGACGGGGTTTTCAGCATGTTGGTCAGGCTGGTCTTGAACTCCCGACCTCAGGTGATCTGCCCGACTTGGCCTCCAAAGTGCTTGGATTACAGGTGTGAGCCACCACGCCCGGCTAGAAAATCTTATTTTAGAGGTTTTACCCCGTTGACAAAGCCTTAACATTTCTTTAAGAGAACTAATTTCCATTTTACCTCCTCTACATTTTGAACAGAATCTTAAAACAAATAGCCAACAAGGGGATGAAAGAAGCCAGCGCCGCTTCTCCGCGGGCACTGCCGGGGACCTGCTCCAGCCGGCGCTTTCACGCGAGACGGGGAATCCCCCAGCAGGATGGATTCCGCGGGGCTACAGCCCGCCCTAGCCGGGCCCACTTCCGCCGGAGCCCGGGCCGCGCCCGCCCCGCCCCCACGGACCGGAGATTCGTCGGAATTTTCCCGCGACGTCGCGGGAGCGCGCGTGGCCGCTCGCTGAGCCCCAGAATGCACTGCGGGCACGAGAGCGCGCGCTGCCCAGCGACCGCGGGAAAATTCCAAAAAACTCCAAGCAAAAAGCCAATACGAGGTAAAGCCAAATTTTCAAACCACAGATCCCGGGTGGTGGCTTCCTTTCCGCCACTGCCTAAACTGCTGAAGCAGCTCCGGCGAGGACCACCCGGTAAGCGGCAGGCCGCAGAAGGCAGCGAGGGCGGAAGCTTCTCTCGGGGGTCTGGCTGATACGTCAGCGGCGGGAGCGGGAGGAGGAGGCAAGGGGCCAGAGGGAAGGCTCGCGAGAGCGGGTGGGCGCGGCGCGCCTCGCGGTGGGCGAGCTGGGTTCCCGCTGGCGCTGGGCTGAGGCTAAGGCTGGGGCGGGAGGCGGGAAGCAGGAGGCGCGAGGTGGGGAGGTGGGAGGTGGCAGGCGGCGGGCGGTGCTAGCCCGCGGGGCGGGGCGGAGCTAGGCGAGCTGGGGCGGGAGCCAGCGCGGGGGTCGCGCGGAAGTGAGTCCCCGGAGCGGCGGCAGCAGGGAGTTGGTGTTTTGGTTCTTTTTATTCATTGAGCAAAGGCAGCAATGTGTTTTTCAAAGGAGAGGAGCAAACGTGAATTTCTCTGCCTCGGACCCGTGGGAACCGTGAAAAGCTCGGCCCTTAGAGCCAGTAGACCTCTACCACTGGCCTCATGCTCTGCGCCTCTCGCACCCCTGCCTCCAAGCCCGAGCCGCCGGGGTTCGGGGAGGGGCGAGGCTGTTATCCTTCCCGCCCTCCGCTTCTCATCCCTGGCGGGAAGCGGGTTCGCAGGAGCCAGTGTCTCGCCTCCTTTATGTGGACGCCAGGCCACATCTCCTTCAAAGCCCGTGAGAGATTTTTCGGGTGCTATTTGTTTGTTTACCTGTTTTAATTTTTTAGGTTGTGTGCGTTTACAACTGTGAACCCTCTATGATCTTAGGTGTCCAGCGCACTGAATGGGGGGAAATATTTAGAGTTTTATAACATGGGAAATTGGGTATCAGAATCTTCAGGAAAGAGGCCAAGGAGTTTTCTAGCAAAGACCTGTATGTGCCTGGGCTTTTGTTCCAATCTGAAACTTGGAAAAACTCCCGGGCACCTGGTTTTATTCTAACCTGTGCCCCATTTAATGCATCTCAATTGTGATGTGATTTGACTTAGCATTTATCAAATGAGCAGAGCACTTTTGGGCCACCCAACTTCAGCTCTTTGTGGCTGTCACTCACTGTCAAAGATATGCCCTCAGACAGATCGTTTTCTCCTTACTCCCCTCCAGGGTTGTTAGAAACGATAGAATTCATACCATGTGTTGAGATCATTCATTACATAAGCTTAGATAGAAAACATGTTCATTGCGACTTTATACATTAAATTTAAATTGATGTTTCAGTGTAATGAGCTGTACCAGTCAGATGGAAATAAGCACTCATATACATTATTCATATACAAGAAAGGTGGCATCAAAAAAGAATTTGTTTTCTTAGATATATTAGAGGTCTTTTTCACCTCCCTACAACCCCCAGTAAAATATGCTTCTTGAGAATTGGACTAATTATACTTTGTATATTATACGTTCGAATTTATTTTTGCTTTGTTCGGTCATATTTCTCTTGATTTCGTGAAAAACATTTATCAAGGCCTCAGGAAAAAAAGCAGGCTCTATATTGGTATTTTTTGTTCTGTCGGCTAATAAGAAGCATTAACTTGATTGATTGGGTGGATGTCGAAGATGTGTTGCCGCATGTATCTGAAACTGTGCATGTACATTTTAAAATAAATGGTACTTTTAACCAGTTCCATATTTCAGCAAGTAGTTCCAAAAACAATTAGACAAATTTCGTGTTTATGAAAACCAGCTACAGAGAGGCCAGCCTGGCCAGTAGAAAGTTGAATTGATTATCTGGGCCATCTAGAGAGCCAGAGGAAACTCACATTAGTGGTAGTTCCAAGTTGGTAGTGGTAGGGCCTCAAATCAGGCTGGAAATGAGCACCAAATGATTTTTTAAAGTTTTATTTTAGGCTGGGAGAGGTGTATTTTCTGTCTTGTTTATGGACCTTGAGTGATTGACTCAATATGAAAGAATACAGACAGGAGAAATACATTGAATTTTTGTAGTGTTTTAATAAAAATGCAGAAGGGGAGAAGGAAAGACAATTCAGATAACAGGCAGAGCATGGTGGCTTGTGCCTGTAATCCCAGCACTTTGGGAGGCTTAGGTAGAAGGATGACCTGATCCCAGGAGTTTGAGTTCAGCTTGAGGGCAAGAGAGAGCCCCCTGTCTCTACAAAAATTTAAAAAATTAGCGGGGAATAGTGTCGCAGCCTGTGGTCCCAGCTTCTCAGGCCGAGTTGGAGGATTACCTGAGTTCAGGAGGTTGAGGCCACAGTGAGCTGTGATTGCGCCGCTGCAGTCCACCCTGGGCAGCAGACCGAGACGCTGACTAAAAAAAAAATTGATAACAATTCAGATTGGCTACCAGAGTTGTACTGGGGGCGAGCAGGCAATGGTTTTATGTCCATTTTGAGATCGAGGTCTTCTAACTCAAGTTTAATACAGGACTGAAGGTTAGAGGCCTGTATGCCTTTTATATCAGTATCGTGCTACCTTGATTATGACAGCTTTATAGTAAATTTTGAAATCAGGTAGTGTAAGTTATCTAATGTTTTTCTTCATTTTCACAATTGTTTTGGCTGTTCAGGTTACTTACATTTCCATAATTCAGTATCAGTTTGTCATGTTTTCAAAAAATCCGGCTGTGATAGATTTTATAGTAATTGCATTTAATTTTCATATCCGTTTGGGGGAGAATTGCCGTCCCACCCTGAACATGGACTCTTTCCATTTCCCATTGAGATCTTTAATTTCTCTCAGCAATATTTAGTAATTTTCAATGTACAAATTTTGCCCTTTAGTAAATTAATTTTGAAGTGTTTTATTTTTGATAGTGTTGTGAATTGAATAGAATTACTTTAAAAATTTTATTAATTATTTATCCATAAAGTGAAAGCAAGTTTATTAAGAAAGCAAAAGAATAAAGAACGGCTACCCCATAGGCGGAACAGCTGAATTATTTTTAAAATTTCCTTATGGATTGTTGTCAGTATATAAACATACACATGTTATCTTGAAACCTTCCATGTTGAACTTGATGATTACTTCCAGTTTTTTTTTGAATTACACAGGATTTTCTACATATGGCATCATGCCAATAAAGATAGTTTTAGTTCTTCCTTTCCATGTGGATGCCTTTAATTTCTTTTTTGTCTTGTTTGAACCTCCAGCACTTTGCTGAATAGACATGGAGAATACATTATTGACTTAGTTTTCATCTTAGGGGAAAAACATTTAATCTTTTACCATTAGATATAACATTAGCTGTAGGCTTTTCATAAATGTACTTTATCAGGTTGAGAGATTTTCCTTCTGTTACTAGATTGTTGAGAATTCTTATGAACAAATGTTAGAAATGTTGCTTTTCTGCATCTATTGAGATGATGGTGTTTTTTGTTCCTTTATTTTATCAATATGATTAACTGATTTGTGTATTTATCCTAACATTGCATTCTAAATTCCATTTGGTCATGTTATATAATCCTTTTTACATATTTCTGGATTTGGTTTAGTAATATTTTGTTTAGGATTTTTGTATTATGTTCATGAGTAATATTAGTAATATTTTGTCCTGTGATGTCTTTGACTTTGGTATTGTTGTACTGGCATCCTAGAATCAGATGGGAAGTGTTCCCTCGTATTTTTTCAGAGTTTGTGAAGTATTTTTTTTTTCTTTAAACATTTGATGGAATTCACTCAGAAAGTCATAAGTTCTGGTTTTTCTTTATAGGGAAATTTAAGATTACAAATTCAGTTTCTTCACTGTGCGCATGCGTGTGACTTCTTTGGTGCATGTGGTCGTGCACGTGTGTGCTCGTGAGTCTTCCAGAGCGAGCTTGTGCACTTGTGCGCGCGCCCTCTCCATCTCCAGTTCCCACGCACACTTTCTTCAGCACTGGTTGCCATGCACACATGTGACGCTTCTCCAGTGCGGAGCTCCCATGGTGTGTGCGGCTTTTCTAGCGCCCACTTCTTTGCCAGCGCCGGCTCCCTAGGGTTTGCCGCTTCTCCAGCAGTGGCTCCCGGGTTTGGGCGCCGCCCCACCACCTGTTCCCAGGCGTGTGCGCATCTCCAGCGCAGGGTCCTTGGCATATCCGCTGCAGCGCCGGATTCTGTGGTGTGCATCTTCCCCATGGCAGGCTACTTCGTTGTGATAAGCCATACCCAGTAGTCAACAGTGTACCTCAGCATCCCCCTCAGGCGATTTTGTAACTGAACCTCTGGTGGGACACCTCCCAGTGAACACCTTTTCCTGGTGCCCTAGAGGATGGGTTTACCAAAGTTACCAAAGGTGGTTTTCCAGCAAGTTGTACTGGTGCAGCACCTACAGAGACATCTTTCCTATTCAGTGAGCCATGGCTGTGCTCCCTCCAAAAAGTTCTAGATCTCATTCCTGGGAAGAAGTGGGTATTTTTCCTTAGGGAACACACCTCAGCCCTAAGGGCAGTGGCTTCTCTTTATATCTGCTATTCCTGTGTTCTGTAGAATTCTCTTTACTTCTGGCTAGACAACACCTTGTTACTCCAGTCCTGTTACAGTGAATAGTTCTTGACTGAGCATGGTGGCTTATGCCTGTAATCCCAGCACTGTGGGAGGCCGTAGGACTCCAGAAGATTACTTGAGGCTAGAAGTTTGAGACAAGCCTGGGCAACATAGCAAAACCCCTGTTCTACAAAAAATACAAAATTATCTGGGAGTGGTGGTGTGTGCTTGCCTGTAGTCCCACCTAATAAGGAGGCTGGTGTGGGAGGATCGTTGAGCCCAGGGGGTCGAGGCTGCTGCTAGCCATGATTACACCATTGCATTCCAGCCTAGACAACAACAGCGTGAGACCCTGTCTCAAAAAAAAAAAAAAAAAAAAAGACAACAATAATAATTCTTTATATTTGACTTTCCTTATTCATATTATTATGTGGTTTCTTTATACTGACTGGACACAGACTGATTCATCATCACCTTTGCTCTGAACTTCCTCAAGAAATCATGAGTGGTAAGAGTATTTAGCCTGTTTATTTTCTTGCATTGTGAAAGTTAATCCTAAGGTTATTCCCATTTCCACATGAC